CTCAGCCTATTCCCCTGAACCCTGGGGCTCCAGCCAGGCTTGTCCCCTAAGGACTCAGAGCCGAGAAGGTGAACAGGCCAGCAGGAGATGCTCTCAAGTGGGAGAATGCGGAGGAGAGGAGCCATTTGCCCCTGGGGACCCTCAAGTCTGGTTGGAGATATTGGGCACCCTAAAGACCACGTGAGAAGTGAAAGACAGGTGGAAGAGCCCAGCGCCAGATGGTGAGACTGGCTGAGAGCTGCCAGAGGTCAGATAAGGGACGGCCCCAGGGCCACACTGTACAAGTCTTAAAATAGCCAGAAGCTGAAAATGGGGTATCCTTCAGTGCCCTGAAGCAAGACCCTCTACACACTTAGGGGCAGATCGTCTCCTGGGCCCAGAATTCTGGCTGCCTGCCCCTTTATGGCAGAAGGGTGGTGGTGAATAGTCACCAGGATGTTCCAGTCCAGGACATTGGACACCCCTTCAAGTCCCTCTTCCCTGCCCGCTGCCCCCATACTACATTGGAATGCCAGGCCCTAACCCATGCTGTGGCTGTCCCAACCTCTGGACTTCTAGTTCCCTTCCCCATCTCAACAAGCCCAATAGGAGCTCTTGGAGGGGAGCCCTGGGTCCCCAGCAGAGGCAACTACCCTCCATCTCCCACAGGCAGTGTCTGCAGTCCCCACCTCAGTGCACCACTGTCCTGGTGAGGCCAACACAACAGGACTTCTTGCCTGGCTCATAGCTTCAGAAAAGTACTCACAGTTCTGGACTAATGACTCCCCTCCCAATGGAACCCAGATCCCACACACCAACTCTGTGTCCCCGTAACTCCCTCATTCCTTGAATTCAGCTGGCTCAGAGAAGCCAGAGGTCTGGTTGAGAGTAGAAGAACAAGTCGCCTTGCTCTGACAGAAACATGGCTGAAAAGGCCTCTTTGATCCCTAGAGCTGAGACTTGGCAGGCCAGAGTCCTCTGGAGCAGACTTGTGAGGCTCAGCTGCCCCCTGCACAGAGGCCAAGTTGCAAATCTATCTGTGTTACAGCGCCCTAGGGCCCCACCCCCTCGAAACTGCAGGTGGCCTCCTGGGTATAGGTGGGGCATTGCTTCTCTTGAGGGCCAATCCCAAACCCCACCCTGTTGGGGCCCCGAAGCCTGTGAACAGCAGAGCCATGTTTTCTGAAGTGTCGGGAGCGGGGCGGGTGTTATCCTGAAGCAGCTCCAGCTTTTGCTATCTTCCTTCAAGGTCCCCAGATGCTTTTATTTTTTATTTTATTTTTTTCCACGCTGGGGATGGAATCCAGGGCCTTGTGATTGCTAGGCAAGCATTCTACCATGGAGATACATCCTCAGTCCACCAGGTATTTTCTTGGCATAAAGGACTAGTGCCCCTTGCCAACTTTTTCGAACTTCCACCCCAAGCCTCAGTTTCCTTCTCTGCAGGCAGCCTGATATTGTGGAACCACCCCAGGTACTGGGCACAGACAGATGTGGGTTGGAATCCAACCTCCATACTGATGAGCTGAGTCATCCTGGGCAAGCCCCTTATGCTTGTTGAGTGTTGGTTTCCTGGTCTGTGAACAGGGATGTGTGTATGGCAAGGAGTGGGGGTGCCAGTGCAATGGTGCATATGGGAGTGTGGCACAGTGCCTGGCACAAAATGGGCACCAGAGTTCTACATTATTATAAAGCCAAATTTTGAGGTCTTTTTTTAGTCATCTCCTTGGGTGAGGAATAGGAAGCTGGGTGACTGCCCCACCCCTTTTATTCAGTTTCCATGTCTTTGCATCATTGACTCCAGGATCTCCCCAGTTGAAATTAAACTCAGTGTAGATTCCATAGACCTATCTCACCACTGAACTCACAGAAGTAGGGGTTTCTTTCTTTTGCAACTCTGACCTCAGATGAGCAGTAGAAATGGGTCACTCTGGAGTTGGCTGGATCTAAAAAAAAAACTACCTGGCCATTCATCTAGTCTTTAGACTTAGTCCCACAAGGGAGTTGTGGCTGATAAAGCCAAGTTCCTCCCGGCCAAGTGCTTTTACCCCTGGATAAGGCATGTGCAGGTTCCCCATTCCTTCCCAGGCCTCCTGCCTCTGTGACAGTTGGCAGAAGGGGAAAAATGTTAATGCTGAGTTCCTATGAATTTGACACATCTTGGGTGTGGAGGGTGAGTCCTGCCCAAGAAATGGCATTACATTTAACAGAGAAAAAACATTTTCTTGTGTGCTCCAAAAGAGTGACTTGCAAAAAAAATACATAACCCCTGCTCCACTCCCTGGCATCCCTGAGAGGTTTTTGGGATCTGTACTCAGTGGTCCTAGAGAATGACAGCCTGGGCGTGCCCCAGTTCCACCAACCAGAAGGCATCATTCTGGAGAAAAGAACTCCACCTCCAACCAAGCCCAGGGCTTTTCCCAGAATTTCAGTTCTGTCCTTGGCAGGCTACCTCTGGAGATGTCCAGAGATCTTATCCCTGAAGTCAGAGTGGTCACAACATCCTGCACACAGTTCTCTGAGAAAGCTGATACACCAAGAAGGGATAGTTTGCATATTTGCCTGTAGCTTTCTTCCCATTGCCAAATGAGTTGAATTAACAAACCAGTCCATTTATAGTGACACCTTTGGAGCAAGGCAAGAGAACTCTTATTACTGACCCAGAAATGCCCTTAAACATCTGTAAACTTAGCCCACTGTGGGAGTTTCACCTGGTGTGGCTGAGCCCCACGTGCTAGCTTATCCCATTGGAAAGTGGTTCTTGATGACCATGATGTCATCACAACCCCAAAGAAACACCTTTCAAAGACTGCCTAGCTCCCTCAATCAAGAGCTTCTACCAGGAGTGCTTAGACCAAAACTCTTAGGAATGACCCACAGAAGCATCGGCAAGTTCTTAGAATGATCTTAAACTTTCAGGCTCAAATTATAATGTTGTTGCTACATTTCAGGCACTTTGCTAACGATTTACCACCAACAGCCATCACCTTCAGGTAAGCAGTTGGGTCTTATGTATCATATTTGTCTTCTGGGCAAGGGCTAAGGTCCATGGTGGTCTGGTTGTATCCCACACAGCCCCAGGACCTCACTGTCTTGGGAGAGAGGTTGCAGAGTTTGGCAACTCTTCTCTGGACATCCCAAGGTGTTAGTCCCACGAATTGGAGGGCAGCAGGTCTCCATCTTCTTTCTGAAGGTTAGGGACTGATGGGCATAATTCTATCATTTTGGTAATGTGTAATTGATGAATTTTGCTTGTTAGTACTTGAGAGACTTCAACAGCTGCTGGGACTTCATAATACCCACTGCCTACTCTCCATTAGGGATCAGGACAGAGTAGACAAGGCAGAAGTAGGCACTGATGTTTGTTCTGGGTTACTCTCTCCTTCCTCCCATCACTTCTCAGTCTACTTTATCTGACTTCACAAGCCCAAACCCCACCATCATTAACTAAATGCTACCAGCTAGAAAATCCCAGATAGAAACCACAGGAGGCTGACCAGTCTAGTTCTTCTTGGTAAAGACTGGGTCCTAGAAGAGCTAGAAAAGGCTATCTTGTCCATCACTCTGCCCCCAGGTGAAGATACTCTTGAAAACCCCAAGTGGATTTTCTGATGTGCAGGGCTTACAATGGGGGCCTGTCCAGGCTCCCACGTACACTCACCCAGCAGGAGCTACCACTCACAGCTTCTGAGATCAGAGAATTGTACTTCCTGAGCTAAGCAGAAAATGTGTCAGACTTTGCCCATTTTTCCCATTTACTCATCATTTTCTCATTTAGCCTTCCCTTCCCACCAAGGGCCAACACTCCTTCCAGAGCCTTGGTCCCAGTTATTGATTTCTGGGACTGAGCGTGGAAGATATATCCACATGTATCCATATCCCTAAGCAATGCTATCACTGCCATGACCCTGTTCCCTAGGTGATGCACTCAACTTACCTACTGCTGGGTGCTATTAATGCCCTAGGGCTAGAGACAAGGGAGAGAGATGATTAAAACCCATACCTTCCATCCTCAGACATTTTGTACAATTTGGGCCTGACCTTAAGGGAGAATTATCATATATTAGTGGTTCCCTAACTATAGTTTTCAGAACCACTGCTCTGATCAAGTATATCCCCTTATAAAAATTGTGTGTAATAGCCCAGCCAGAACTCTGGGAAGATATGGAATTTAAAAAATCTGCTTCATGTGAGGCCAGCCAAGGTTTTCCTCATGTATTTGTGTAAGGACCCACTACACTGCAGGACTGGTGTTCAGCACCTATGGAGTGATTGTTGTTGTTGAAATAAGTCTTGAGGGCTGGGGATGTGGCTCAGTGGTAGAGTGCTTGCCTAGCATGTGCACCAGGCCCTGGGTCAATACCCAGCGCATGTACACACACACACACACACACACACACGTAGTTCAAGACTTTTATTAGTCTTGAACTAGCAGGCACATTTTAACTAAATAAAATAACTTGTTCCTGAATGTGTCACTGGCCACATTTAAACTGCTCAACTGGCACACGTGGCTCGTGCAAGTGCCTACAGAATTGAACAGTGTAGAAAGAGTGTTTCTATCACTGTATTAATTGGACAGGAAGTGATGGCCATCACAACACACCTTGGGGACATTTCTTGGGTGGTTGTCTGTTCTGATCATCTGTGATTGTATCATAATAATTGTTGGACATTTGGAGTAGAACTTTGGTGTTCAGCAGGACACATAGTCTATGGCATATACCTTAGAAGAACTAAAAACCTGACATTCCTCATTTCCCAGGAGCCTAGAATTAACTCCCAGCTATGCTGAAGTCATTGGCAAGTAACTACATTTACATGAGCATTCCCTGTGACATGACTGTCCTCCTGCCTGCCATCTCCTCCATGACCATTACTGAAAGGATGCATGATAGATACAAGTCAGTGCTCAACAAACCCAGGCTCAGGCATGGTGCCAATGATAAGTTCCATCAGAATGTTTCCATAAAAAGCAAAACTAACTACAAATTTCTAAATAAAAGGACACATCCCTCATAAACAATTAACTTTTTATAAAAAGACAAATATATACATATTTATAAACATGTCTACATGTGATCTCACATGACTTAATGGCTAGATGGCATTTCCAATTTTAAGTCATACCAAGACGCTCACACTTCCCTGCCTGGACCTGCTGAGAGCTTCCAGGGCCTGAGGGGGGTGGTGGGCACACGGCAAGGCACTGTATAAATAAATGCGAAGGCCAAGAGCTTGGGGAAAACATTAGTGTACACTTCTGATAAGAAATGTGGCAAGGTCCACAAGAAAAAGTGCCATGTCTTTTCCCAAGCCCCTCATCTGAAGTATGAAGCAGGGCAGCACTCCTCTGAGGCTGAGGGATACCACCCTACAGGACCCCAATTTTCCTTCACATTTCACTGGCTTTGGAACAGTCCCCAGGGCTCAACTGGGAAGGGAGGGGGTTCTTTGGGAATAGATTCACTTAGTGCAATTGTCTCTTAGTGCAGAGCCAGCCCTGGAGTTGGCGCTATTCTATTCTGAGGTCACTGATCTGTTCCCCGCAGGGCCACTCAGTGACAGAGAGACCCTCTCCAGGCAGCTGGGATCACAGAGAAAATATGAAGGCCAACTTCTGTCCAAGTCCACCTGACACACCAATCTCTGAACCTCAACCCCTAATTCTCAGGAGGCAGGGCCAGCTTTACAGCACAAGGCAAACCCAGACCCTGGCCTGCCAGGTCCTCTGAGAGTCCACTGACCCAAAGATAGAGGTCCCATCCCTGCTTAGCAGTGGGGTCACACTTTGCTATGTTGAGGGGCCCACAGGAGTCCAGCTTCTATGTACCATAGCCACCATGATGCCAAGTTTTGTTTGCCTAGGGAGAAACCAGGCCGAGAGGCCCAGCTACGGTGCACAAGGAATGGCTTGGATGGAGGGCACCCTGACTGGGGGCAGCATATTGTCCAGCCAGAGGGCATCCATATTCTTCAGATCTGTGAAGACACGGTGTAGGCTGAGCCCAATATCTCCTAGAAGATGAAGGAAGGTTATGTAAGGAGTGGGGTGGGGACATAAGGTGTGTTCCCCAGTCCACATCCACACAGCCCTGTCCCTAAGTCACAGACAGAGCTTCCACTGTCCACAAGGCAGCAGCAAGCACACACCATCTTTAGGTAAACCACAGGGGACAGGAACATAGCTACTTACCTTACTGTCTCCTGGCCCTGCTCCCAAGCCTTCCCCACCCACTGCATGAGTTTCCCTTCTCCAAGAAACCATAAGGATCCAGGGATTTCTTACCCGCAGGGCTGTCAACTTCCGGCTCCTCCTTGCAGGTGAAGTCTCCATAGATAGAGGTGGGCTGGGCCCCAGGTTCATTGAGAAGGTACCCCTTCCCATCCACGTTTGTCGGCTGCCAATCAGATTGCTCCAAGAGCTAGAGACAAAGCAAGAAGCATTCAGCAGCCTTCCCATGAAGATTCACCCTGTGGCCTGCCCTTGATAAGCCGAGGCTTCCCAACCAGGACCACACCCTTGAGCATTTTCACATTCTCTTATGGATGCTGATGTGCAGCAGTCAGAACCAGGCCCTGGATCTGGGAGGCACAAATGCACACAGGCCCTGCTCCTTGGGTCATTTTCCCACTCTTCTCACTCCTGCCCTCTGCGAGAGTATCTCTACCACTTCCCTCAACTGGGATTGAGGCTTAAAGCACCGCATAATAAGAAAAGATAACTAAAAAGCTAGAGAAAAGGAACTGGATCCACATCCCAGTTTTCTGTGCTAATGTGGCAGAGCCAGGGAAAAACTACCTCGAAAATGTTTTGTATTCATTTTTAAAACTGAAGCAGAGAAAGAAAAAAAAAACTGGAGGATAATTTGTCTAAAAAAAAATTTTTTAAAGCCATCATATTACAGATCCCAAAGGCTGATTATTGAAACCTGATGTGCATTTCCCAAACTAGCAGGGCTGGGCATGTTGGGGCTGAGGACACGGGCCAGGGACCTGGCACTGATAGTGGCTGATTCACAGCTCTGTCTGGGGCCCTCAAGTTTGCTTTAGGAAGGCTCACTGGAGACACAGCTTCCTACCAGCCTTCACGACCCAGCGTCTTTCCCAACCAAGAAGGGCAATGGTCCCCACCAAGTGGATATACTGCTTGTGGGACTATACAAGTAGTCAGGGGACAACAGCAGCTGCCCACCCTCTGATCTAGAAGCTCTGATTCTCTCTCTCCTCACCAAGAAATGTCCACTTCAAAAGAAAGCCAGGAAGGAAGGGGCTATACCTTCATGATGTCCTCAGGTAATTTCCCTTCCTCATCCTCGTCTGTTGCAGCTGTGGATGGGGAAGAGCAGAGATGCTGGATGGCAGTACATCATATTGGCCCTGCAGTTCCAGTCCCTCCAGGGTCCCCTGCCCCTACACACACACATACCACTGGCCTCCCAGCAGACATCTGCCATGGACATTCCAGAACAAGACACTGGCTTGGTGACTCAGCCTCCTAAACTATGAAGTCACGCCTCTTCCCACCCCTTCACTTCCTTCCTCACTCTAAGGCATTGGGCTGCAGAGGAGCCAGTAGAACTAGCAACCTTAGATCAAGACACAGCCCCTGATCCCTTCCCTCTTCTCCCCAGCCCACCAAGGTACTGTAGTCCACTCTAAACTGCCTGCCTGGTATCCCAGGGGCTTGCTTCATGCCCATGGGAATTGGGAGTAGACAATGCCCAGCTCAATCAGCTCGGTGGCTGGTGGCCTTCTAAGCATCTTTTCTCCCTCAGAAAACCCTTCTCAGGACCCAAACAGTCAAGCAGACAGACCAGGCCCCAGCAATACAAACCTTCAGAGGTGGAGGGCATGGGTGACACCTGGAAGTTGTAGAGGTCACTGGTGCTGTCCGGCACAATTTCCACTGGGATGTGCCAATCAGGAAGAGTGCTACTGACAACACATGGTGATGGTGCTGGGGAGCAGCAGGAACCAAAGGTCAAGGATGTGTGCTTTGTTAGTTTGCAAGATACCAGGCACCCTGCACCCTTCAGCCTGGTCCAACAGGCCACCCTCTGCTACCAAGACAGCACAATGCCTCTTGGACCCAAGATAAAAAGCCATCCTCACCTGGAGTAAGTGCCTGCTCCAACTCCAGGTCCTGCCCCACATATCCCTGAGCTGTATAGCTACTGTGGTCATCAGGCAGAGTGGAGCTGCTGAGTCCATCAGAGAAGGTGTCAGGGCTGGAGTCCCCACATGACTGTGGAGGGAGAAAGCAGCTTAGGCCCACTGTAGCACTCTCCACTGCTCACCCTCACCCAGTGACAAAAGGCCCAGCTGCTGAGGACCATACTCACCTTTCTTTTGGCCTTGCTCTTAGTGTCTCGGCTGGACTTGGACTTTCTCTCTGTGGGGCAGACAGGCTGTCAACCTCGGCATAGGAATGCCAGCCCAGCTGGCCTTCTTCTTCCCTTCCTCCCGAGGGCTCCCCAAAGACCCAGAGCTCTTGGCTACCTTTTCTCTGGTTCTTGGTCAGGGGTGGAAGCATCCGGTATACCCGCACAGCCGAGCTGCCCTTGTTCCTGCTCTGGTCCTTCACCTCCTCGATGTCTGGCAAGGAGTTCATGGCACAGCGGAAGTTTGCCTTCCATGTCTTAGGATCTGGTTCCTTTTCTCCAGCTTTGTATCGGCCTAGAGAGCAAGAGGGTGAAATGGATCATCAGCTGCCCCTTGCCTGAGAAGAATAAGGCAAAAGTACTCCAGATGCCCACACTGGTGAAACCTTAGTGACCCTCTGCAGGCTGTAGACTCTGGGGCTTCTGGAAGATCCAAGCTTGGCTCAAACATCCAGCAAGCCTCGGTGAAGGGCCCAATCAGATGCATTAGAGTGCCCCTCCCCACAAAAATGTGCTGTGTCCTGGACCATGCCCAGATTCCCTGCTTGTGCTATCAGCAGCCAGAGAGAGGGTAGGGACTGGGGCTTATCTGATAACTTCCAAACTAGGAGTGAGCACAGAGAGGCCAGCAAAGAACAGTTACTAATAGGTAGACTGACTATTCTAAGCTGGGCCAAGAGCCCCATCACTTTAAGATAAAAAGAGACCAATCATCAACCAGGTGGTCCTTGAGCCAAAGACCTTTTTTTCCCCTCGAAAAAAAGGAAGATATGGATCTCTTTTAGTGCCCTGGCTCGCGACTTCTTTTTCAAGGGAGAACTTTAGCCACAAACTCCCTCAAGTAGTATTAATACTATTATTGCTTTCTAAGATTTTGGCTTTATAAATCCCTTTAAGAATTTGCTGAAACATCAATTTTCATCCTTCAGAAATATGGGTCTGCCCCTTGCCCCCCCACTAATAATTCTGTACACTATATCAGGGAAATCAGGGACATCAAAGATCAGGCCTTTGCATGAATATTTGAGCCTCCCCTTGTTTCTTCCCTAGCTCTCAGGGACACAGTCCCAGGGACACACCTGTGTGGATGGCCCAGCTCCGGAACAAACAGGCATCCTTGTTGATGTCCCAGCCATGTTTTGCAGCATGCTTCCATGGGATCTGGAAGATCATCTCCTCCTGAACAACACACACACAAATACACAGAAGCTGTGTCAGCTCAGAGACCACAGGCTTTGTGGCTGAGTATGCCCAGCCCCCCAGGTCTGGGAAAAAGCTGACTTCCCCTTTTCACCCCATCTGGTTTGGGTTGACCAGTCCTGAGACTGGCTTCAACAGGCCACTCTGGATCTCTTAGGAGGGGTTCTGATGGACTGTGGTACCAACAGCTCAGCAAAAACACCGCTATGCACATTATAGATATGCTGGGACCCACAGAGTCCTCTCCCCCACAGCACTGATCTGAATGCTCTGGCTGATTAGCACCAAAACAGAAGTAAAAATGGAAACTCTTCTATTAAATGGGTCTGCTGAGGACACCTGGGACAACTGGCTCCTACACAGAGGGTCCTGATCACACCCTTCAGGGAGTACTGGGCCAGACCTGAATGTGACTACCTGTGGCACCACAGTTTCCTCTCTCTGAAACAAGAAAATATACCTCAAATATACCTGAGGGTAAAAACCAGAGCATGTGTGGGGACACTGACAAATGAAGATTAAGGTCTTACTGTCATTATTACTGGTGGCTAGCTCTATGGATTTCTGAATCAGACTGTTCAGGTTCAAAGCTTGGTTTTATCACTTTTTATGTGATCTTATTATCAACTTCTCAGCACCTCAGTGTCCTTATTTGGACCATTCCTCACAGCACTACTGTGAGAATGAAACAGCACAAGTTAAGTAACATACTTAGCAAGGTGCAAGGTACATAGTAACTGCTGCTAGCCATTACTATTATGCATACTAATATTGCTATTACTACTATTATTGATACTAAGTCTACAGAGTCTATCTTGCCCCAAGTGTAGCAGTTAGTCTTCTTAGGTCAGAGTAACTGAAAAAGGTTAGTTCTTGGGTTCTCTGCTGAGACAACCACCTTCCTACCCAGCAGTACCCACCTCTCTGTTTCCTATCATCTGCCCAGCCAGAGCCCTGCAGAATGCTGTGTGTGTGGTAGGGGTATCCCTGGGAGGAGATAAGAACTCAAGCTCTGCAAATGCTGGGAGAGTCTGGCTGCTGGAAACTTCAGGTGCCTTTAAGAGGGTTACTGTCCACACCTTGAGAAGGGAAGAAGACAGGACTTGGGCAAAGAGGGCCCAGGCCTGGGCCTTGCACACCCACTGCAGAACCCACTGGGAAACACATCTGCCTGCCTCCTTATCATTTCCCTTTTTTGAGCTGCATCTGAAGCTTTGGTCCCCTGAAGAACATGGGTAACAACAGTAGCAGAAAAACCCAAGAAGTTACACTCACTTTATTAATCCAGATCAGCCCCGGAATTTGGTTGGAATTAATCTGCATCTCTAGCCACGGTCTCATGCGCATCCGAGTGATGGGCATGTTGGCTGTAAAGAGAAGACAGAAGGCTCCTGTTTTGGAGTCTATTGAACAATCCTGGTCACTACCTTGTTCCACCAGAGTTCACTTAATCTCCCCTATTTTCACACCCAGATCTTTACTCTCTCCTGCCCTCAGATAACAGGACTTAACAAACATGGGAAAGGAAGCCTGCACTGGAATAAAACTGCTCTCCAAATTGTTTCAACATCTTGGGCAAAAACATCTGCTCCTTCTTTCATCCTGTCCCAGCCCTCTCAGAAGGAGGTGGGAGTACAAGTGAGGGCTTCAGGGCTTAAGTGCAGGAAAAGAGACCAAATACACAGATATCTTAAAACCAAAACTTTTCTCTCAAAACCCAAATTCTTTAAAAAAATTCTTTAAAAAGGGAGGGTTCCCCCCCACACCCCTATGCCAAGAAGAAATTTCCCTGATTTGAGTTGTCGCCATAAGCTGTGCACCTTCCCTAACGGGTATTCAGTCCCCAAGGATCCTGGACACCTTCTCACCCCGCCCCCCCCCCCCCAGAACCCATTCTATGCCTGACAGCCACCCTGCCCACAATGCTGACGCCAGGACGCGCAATTCCTTTGGGCTTGGTTTCCCCTCCTCAAGAGAAGTGGCTCAAGGAACACCTGTGGCGCCGGCTCCTGCCACCCCCCTGGTCCATGACCCCCCATATAAGTCCTGACCTCCTCCAGTCACTAAGGGCGGCAAGCCAGTCCCTGCCACCAGCACAGGCAGCCCGAAACCTGGGGCAAGGGCGCCAACCTGTGACAGGCAAAAGCCAGAGCCCAGGAACACAGGGCTCCTACGCGCGGGCAGACACTCGAGTTCCCTGACATGGCGTGTGGATGCGCGCGACCAATGTACCGGGCCACCTAGAGGCCCCTGGCAGCTCCGCGCACGCAGATCTGCGAAAGCGGCCGGGCGCAGGCAACCTCGGCCAGTGGGCGGTCCACGCCGCGGCCCGCCCTCCCCGCTCTGCCGCTCGCAGCTCCTCCAGCGCCCTCCCGAGCCCGCGCCGGGCCCGGGCAACGCCGCGCGCCCGCGACTCTCCGGGTTGGGGTTTTTGGCCCCCACTTCCTGGTGTCCCGCGCGCCTTTTGTTCGACGCCGCAGGTCCCCCAGCCGCGAAGGCGAGCTCACCTCTGCAGCAAGAGCGATCCGCCGGCGGCGCCCGAGGTTCCCGACCAGGCGGGGACTGCTGTGCGGACCCGCGAAGCGGAGATAAGGCAGAGGATGCCCGGGTCTTGGGTCCACTGGGCACGGCTGGCCTTGGCTGGGCACTGCTCCTGCTGGCCTCGGCTCTGCAGGCTAGGGCACACGTCCTGCCTCGACGAAGGAGTGGCGCGCTCTGCCGAGGCCGCGGCGCCGCGGAGAAATCTAAACACTTAGCGGGATTCCCCCAACCCAGGCCGGGCTCCGCCTCCTTGGCGCCGCGCGGGCGCCCATTGGCCGGCGCCGCCTCATCATTTCGGGGAAATCAGGCTGTTGTAGAGCTAAGCTGCGAAGGGGAAGTACAGGGCGGCTGCTCCTCCCCACCCCCTCCGGCCGGCGCCGCCGCCCCAGGGCCACTGCGGGCCCGCCCCGCGCACTCCCACTCCACCCCCACTCCGGCTTGCCCCGGAGGAAGGCTGTCCTTGGAAAATCGAGTGACCCCAGCCCACGGTCATTCCCCTCGTTCCGCATTCGCTCAGCCTGGGGGCTTCTGTGGCCCTCTCCTCGCCCACCTCTCTGGAGACATCTAGCTCCCCAGCGCAGGTGAGGGGATCACCTGGGCACCTGCTGCCCTCTTCAGAAAGGACGCCAGAACTGAATCCCCGAAAACCATTATGGCTCCCCAAGCCCATGAATGTGTGTCAAGAAGGAAGGGTTTTAGCCCTCCCAGCGTCTCTGTCTTGAGAGATTGACATCGCCCCCTCTAGGTCGCTCACCTGCTTTCGGGGAGTTACAGGCAGTAAGCCGACTCTGCCTGAGGTGCTGCATAGGCTTCTGATGAGAGGAAATCACAACCTGGCACCTACTGGCGCAACTAACCCAGGACTCAGTTTCCTCAACTACGACATGATAACAGTCCTACCTTGCTGGTTTGCAGTGATGCGGGGAAACGATATTTGTAAAGTGCTTGCCCCATTCTGGCACCAGATACTGCTGTTTTGAAGGTTCCTGCCCCCAGAGTCTAATAATGAACAAAATGACACCTTCCCCCTTTGCATCTTTGGAATTGCCTTAGAGAAAGGGAATAGGAGAAGGGATTCATAGAAGCAACTGTGATCCCTCCTAGCACTCCTGCCTCAGGCCATTTTGCTCTGGACTTTGCAAAGGAGCTCTGAAAAGGCAGCATTGATGTCTTCTTTGGGTCCCCAAGACTTGACCCTGGAGATGCTGGGCAGTATGGAGAAATTACACAAGGTTGGCCAAGGCAATAGGTCTAGCCCATGGTCCCATGCCTCTTGATAAGGGCAATAACTCCTGTACTCACAACTAGAACCTTGCCCCATTTGTATTCCTAGAGACTGAGCTAGGTGCTAATTTTCCGTACAGAACTTTCTTCACCTTCCCAAAGCTGCTGACTCAGAAGTAAACAGTTCTTTCAGGTGTGTCATTCCCTTCAGCGTGGCTCTCCTTCTAGGGCAGCACCTAGTTGCAGTGATGCGGTGTTGAGAGCCACAGCCGAGTTGGGATGGCGCCTAGCATTTTGCCAGAAGGAGTGACGCCAGCGAGCCATTAAGATGATGATAATTAAGTTAAGCTGTGTATAATTGCTGTGACTGGATGATGCTGGATTGAAACAGGCTGTGTATTCAGTGGTATATAGACCCCTGCTGTCCGGCAATAGGGAGGCTCCTGCTGCCTTGGGCACCGCTACTTTTGAGTTCTCCCAGAGTTCCCTTTGAGTTCCTGTTGAGCTCTCCCAGGGATTCCTGGAGAGTAAGTGTTGGTTGGAAAAGTTGCGGTGGAGGGAGGTCTGGTTGGTGTGGAGTTCCTGGAAGGACCGCGTGGGTGGCCTTCACATGAGTTCGGAAATAAAGTTTGTTCCTGCTTGAGTGGCTCCTGATTTGTGCCCAGCCAGACTGCGGCAATGCAGCTATAAACAGACACATCAATGCAGCATCCCACCTGTCAATCACTCTACTCTCTCCCTTCCACAGATGAGATGGATGGATTAATTCAATTCTGGTAAGACTAGAATTTGAGTGCTTTGACTAATGCAAAGCCTAGTTCCTGGGAGACCAGCAGGAATGGGTCAGAGCTGTCTCCTAGATAGTGGCGGGTCAGGAGCTAGGAAAGGCAAGGGGGCAGCAGGACGTTCCAGGAAGGAGTCTAGCAGGGTGTGAAGTCAAATGGAAGGCACTGAGGCACTGGAATGGGGAGGTGGATTTGGGTGCTATAAGTGACAATAGGAGTGAGAACCTGTTCCGGGAACCAAGACCTTCCAAGCAAGAAAAGCAGAAAATAAGTGACTCCTGAGTCATGACATCCATTCTTTATGAAGTAGATAGATGCTTGTCCCATCCTTGAGAACCTTGTATAGTGCCCTTGAATAGAAAATTCAGAATGAGATTAGGGAGAGAAACTTTGCATCTCTTTAGCCTCAGGAATTGACAACAGAGACCTCATGAAGGCAACAGGAGACTAAAAAGTGCTTTAAAACAAAAATTTTGTATTAGTTCACCTGTAAGTGCATATATATACATAATGACCACCTTTCCATGTTATAAATGTACATCCACAATATTATTTGTAATGGGTGCATATTTTCTATCATAAGGATAAATAAAAATTTACCCAATTAATCCCCTATTGTAGGACATTTAGGTTATTTCCATTTTTTCATAATACAAACAACACTGTTAGCAAAATCTTTGCACACATCAATAATTTTTTTGCTTAGGAGAAATTCCCCAGTGTTAGGATTTACCAATGAAACTGTCACTTACATCTTTAAAGCGTTCTTTGGCTTTTTTTTTTTTTTAACTTTTAGCTTTAGGGATTCTTGTTTCATTTTGAAACCTGTAAGAATGTGCTTATCATGATTGGAGATGCTATGAGCTAGCTAACCCCTGTTTAAGTACCCAAAGTTTTTATTATAAATGGTTTCAATTAATCCTCTACAAGAGAATTCCCTGTGATGCTATGTCGAACACATGGTCTCCCATAAGTTCTTAGTAATTCAGGGTGGGCTCTCTTCCCTCAGACTCAAAGTACTAATCATCTCTAATCCAACCATCTTCTCTAAGTAGATGTCCTCCAAGCCCAAGCTGCTCTGGTTGCCCAGTGGACATCCCCCTACAATTCTATTCACATACACACACCTCTCCATCCTCCCTGGTGAAATCTTTCCCATCTTTTTTACCTCAACTAGTCCTCTGGGTCTTCCTTTGATGCATCAGGTTATGATTTCACATTCCAGGACCAGGTTGCTGCTACATCTTCCCTGGGGTCCTCCCTCCCTATTAGGCCTGCCTCGGAAAATAGGGAACAAAATGTCTTTCACTGCAATGTCACACTAATTTTGAGGATCTCCCTAACATTTGAGTCCACTCAGGAGCCTTCTGAGCTCCCTCACTTGTCTCAGTCCCACATTCAAATCTCTGCTCAACCTTGTTCAGGGGGTCCCATTCTGACTTCTCTCCTCAACAAACAGTTCCTCTAATATGTGTGTGTGTGTGTGTGTGTGTGTGTGTGTGTGTGTATATATATATATATATATATATATATATAGCTAAGGATCAAACTCAGTGACTCATATGTGTTAGGCAAATGCTGTACCACTGAACCCAACCCCAGTTCTCCCATTTCTGATAGTAACTAGAGGAATGTAGAAAGAATTCAGAATTTGAGTCTGAAGCTGCATTCTTGTGCTTTTCTCACTTGCTGTGAAATCTTATAAAGTTAGTGTCCCTCTCTGGGCCTCAGTTTTCTCATCTGTAAAGATAATCTCTGCCCATCTCACCTAATCATTGTGAAGGTTGTTAAACAAAATGATGAGATGCCCTTGTTTTGGAGTGAGCTCCTCTACTAGGCTTCAACACAACCAGACCTAGCCAAAATGGAGTCACTTATGCTAAGTACCACATAATCTTTTAAGGGAACAGATAGATTCCAAACCAGACCAAGTTTTCCTGAAAGCAAGAGATTCTAATCTATCTGAGTCAACATAATAAGTAAGTCCCCTCTGCTTTAATACTTGTTTAAAAACAAAACAAAACAAAGTAATCTGAAGTATTCTGATGTTAACCAATCGGGATTTGGGGTTGGGGTTCTATTTTTCCCCCTTGTTCCTGCCTCATATACCCCAGTGTTCTGCTATTGATGGAGACTGCCTGATTCATGAATTGTGAATAAAAGCCACTTAGATCTATAGCTAAATTTGTTATCCTTTGTTCATTCTTTGACAAGATGAAATTATGTAGACTATCAAAATCATTTTCAAACTGTAAAATATTAATCAAATGTAATGTATTCATAGGAATTCATAAACCTTTCACTGCACATCGAACACTTTATGTTCTTCCCCTCATGCCTCCTTCCATTTTCTCATCTCTCTGTTCCCTGATTCTTAGCAACACTGACTTCTCTTCCCTTCCCTCTCCACACACTTCAGTTTCTCTCTCTCTCTCTCTCTCTCTCTCTCTCTCTCTCTCTCTCTCTCTCTCTCTCTCTCTCTCCCTCTCTCTCTCTCTCTCTCTGTCTCTCTCTCCTTTTTTTGGGGGGGGGGGGTAACGGGGATGGAACCCAGGAGTGCTTAACCACTGAGCCACATCCTCAGCCTTTTTTTTATATTTTATTTAGAGATAGGGTCTCACTGAGTTGCTTAGGGCCTCGCTAAATTGATGATGCTGGCTTTGAACTGGAGATTCTCATGCCTCAGCCTCCGAGTTGCTGGAATTACAGACATATGCCACTGTGTCTGGCTAATTTCTGTCCCAGAGCAAAAGCTTGGTTTCAATGAAGTGCTCCCAAAGTGGCCAACCAGAAGTCCTCCCTGCTTAGAACTCCTTAGCCTTTGACTTTCACGTGTTTCTTTTCACCACTTACTACCTTGTGAGAGGTGACTTTCTGGGAAACAAAAATCTGCTTTTTTATTTTTATTTTTCCTGTAAAAGACCTGAGCAGGTTCCTCAAAACCTGCAGCTAGAGTTAGCTGGCAGTCACCTGAGACTGACTATGCACCCTGCTCTGGGATACTACTTCACTCCCAGGATGCCTATCATCCATACCCTCACTCAGGGAAGGTGAATTTATTGCACCATTTCTCTGTATTAAACCTTGGGGTTTTCAGGGCTGTCAAGGGAAGCTGGCTGGCTGGCTGGCAGGGCCACCTTGGAGACGACTTTTGCAATGAGAATTTTGGAAGCAAGATCATTA